AGGAGAACATCAGGGGCCAGCCACCCAGAAAGCCACAGAGTAAGAAGAAAAGTAAGATATAAGACTTAAGAAAGATAAAAGCCCAGAGGAAAAAGGTAGATGGGTTAATTTAAAGTTAAGAAAAGCTGGCTAGAAACAAGCCAAGCTGAGGCTGAGCATTCATAACTAGGAATAAGCTTCCATGAGTGGTTCATTTGGGAGCTGGATGCTGGGGCCCCCCAAAAGAGAAAAAAACATCTTACTACTGAACCCTGGGGTTCAATTGAGTAGAGAAGAAACTCTCCTAGAAGCCAGTACTTCCCCTCCAGCATCACTGACTAGATGATAACATAGTATCTCCTCTTATACAATCACTGAGGAGGAGGACCCACCTTGGTGGGCACAGAACAATCTCATCCAGTCTTCAGGGTCCATAATTTGGACTAATCTTTCAAAAACAGTGCTACACTGAGAAACTTAAATCTATAAGCAAATGGGTTTTTTCAGGAAGTGGAATGAGGAAGGGACGTTGGGTTGGTCTCTGACAGTGGCTGCCCTAATCTGTATCTGAATCTTTTCATTGAAGATACTGTTATTGTTAATCAGAAAATTGGACTCTGACGCCACCCTGCCATAATTATCAAGATAAGTCAGATCTGGCCAGATAGTCATCTCTCACCAACAACTGAAATGAACAAATGTGTGCACAGGTTCTGCAGCTTGGGCAGGCCTCAAACAGGAGCCACTCACCCCTCCTCTGCCCAAGGGAACTCACTCCAGAGCTAGTATGGGCTTCAATTTGAGGCGTGGCTCGTTTGGTTAAGAGGACACTGCTCATGCAGAGTACCTGTAAGTCCAATTCTAGTGGGGGGGGGGACTACAGTGCTCTTCTGGCTTCCAGGAGCACCCACACATACATGGTACACATAAACCCACAAAGGCACACAGACATACATATACATAAATCTTTACAAATGAACTCATCAAAGGCATTGATGACTATTTCAAAGAAGTCATTGAGCCCTTCTCAGTCTGTCACTGACTGTGTAACAGTGGGCTCAGAAAGAGATCTCTCTATTTCTCCCTCCTTCCCTCCATCCCTCTCCTCATTCAGCTGAAGTTGACTTTGAACTGGTGATGCTCCTGCCTTAACCTCTTGAGTGCTAGCATTCTTTACACATGTATATCACTGCACAGAACTAAAGAACAGTTTCCTTAAACATACACTTAACTATTTTCTCCACCCAGGTCATCAGGTTGGTGGCAGTCACCTTTAACCACTGAAGCCATCATGCAGGCCCTAAGTAGGTCAGGAACAGTTCCCTTAACTACTTGCTGTTAGCAGGCCCACAGGCATCCACCAACCCCATGCTGCTCCGTTTCTACCAGGACTTTCACAGTCATCTAAGGATGCCCGCCTTATGTGGAAGAATTCAGATTTGTTTTCTTTTTCATTCTTTAAAAATTCAATAGCATGTTCAGCTTTCTACATTTGTTTATTCTTTATAGAGGTGGGAGTGTGTAATGTGTGACAGCTAAAGGATATTCTACGGGAATTGTCTCTCTCCTTCCACCTTATGAATCCTGGGAATTGAAGTCAGGTCACCAAGTTTAGGAACAGGTGTGTTTTCCTGCTCAGCCATTTCACCAGGCCTTCTTTTAAGTTTTGTACTACATTTATTTGTTTGTGGAGGGTAGCATGTGTACCACAGTGTGGAAGTCAGTTCTCCCCTTCATCAAGTAGATTCTTTTCTTTTTTTCTTTCGGCTTTTCAAAATAGAGTCTCTCTATGTAGCTCTGCCTGTCCTGGAACTCCCTCTGTAGACCAGGCTGGCCTCAAACTCAGATTATAAGGATCCAACTCAAGACTTCTATCCACTGAGTTATGGCATCAACCCTCAATAGTTTGTTTTAAAAGGAAATGAAGTTATTGTTTCAACAAGAAAATATATCTTACATGTGTTTTTTCTTTCATCTAAAGTTTTATTTTAACAATGCCTATATATGTATATATATATATGTATATGTACATATATATAGATGTGTGTGTGTATATATATATATATATATATATATATATATATATATATATCACAAAAAAGGCCAACAAGATGTCTCAGTGGGTAAAGCCATATTCACGCAAGCCTGGTGACCTAAGTTCAACATCTGGAGCCCATGTAATAGTAAAAGGAGAGTCAGCTCTGCATAGTTGCCTTCTGACCTCAACACACAAGTAGTGTCACACCTATACTCACACATCATGCATACAATAATAAATACTTTTTAATAACACAAAAAAGAACATCTTAGGGCTGACCATTGATGCCTAGACTGAATGCGCTTCATCCCTATTAAAGGAAGATACAACTGTTCTTCCTTTAATACAACTGTGACAGTAAATCACTAAAGGCTCCCAGGTAGTATTCTGACTACAAGTCAGTCTCAGTTACTAGAAGTCCTCTAAGATATCAATCCCTTTTAGGAAACATGAGGGTGTTGATAATCTTCAAAACTGCCCCCTTTAGGAATGACGTAATTCCTTGACACACCTGGCATGGCTTTACCTGAAGACTGACTGGGTTCCAAGACACTAAGGCTCTTCAAAACATCCACCGGGAAGTTTTGAGGCACACAAACCAAATAGCACTCATTAAGTAAGGGCAGATAGTGCTATAGAGTGTTGGATTCTAGAACTCCAGCTGCTTCAAACCCATACAAACTTAGCCACACTTAGGATTTACAGACTAGTTCTTCAATGCCCTGGCAAGGTCCAAAAGAAAGTCACTGCCTTAGCAACAGAAGCTTGCAAACCTGTTTCACTGCAGCCACTTTATGAGGAGCAGGTCATAAAACTGTATTTAAACTCCACCTTCAACCCTCCAATTGTTTTACTTACAATTAAATCAAAACGTGAGGATATTTTTGGGCTAAAGGATGGACAGAGGGATAAATGAAGGGCTGTGGTTTTCTTCAGGGACCTAAAACCTTGAGACTGCCAGGAAATCAGAGCCCCGTGATCTTCCTTTGCTCATGCAGAAACAATTCCCAGTGCCAAGGATTTTTTCCAAGGCTCTTTTCCCTTCTGGTGTGATCAAGGCTGTCATGTGACACAGAGAGTCTTTATCCCTGGAGGTATTTTAACACTTTTCTTCCCTCTCCAGTACATACACCATGGAAGCCTTCTTCCAAAGCCTCTTCTGAAGAGAGAACAGACTGGGGAGTGTAATGTAAGTTTTAGTCACTTAAACATGTTCATTACATGTGCATTACATATTGATTTTTATAAAGAGGGCAGCACTTTTTTATTTGAGTGCAATGCTTATACCAATCACAACAAAGGTCCTGACCTTGAAGCTGTAAACCAGCTCATCTCCAACCTTGCCAGGGGTCCTGATGTCTGTAGATGGCTATGCATCCACTTTAAGTGCTTCTAACTAGGCAGTGAAACATCTCATGAACTCCATAAGCATGATTTTGCTCACAGGCAAATGCAAGCCCCTTGTTAGTGTTCTGTGACATCTCTGAGCCCAGTACTGGGGAAAACAGCTACAAGTGACCAAGTTTTATTTCCTGACCTTGTCAGTTGCTGGTGATTCTCTACATGGAAGTACAGAAGCAAGAATCTGGAAAAAGCAATTATAGCCTCTGACTTTCATGTGCCTTCATATGGTATCCTTTAAAAATGTGTTCGAAATGACGTGATTGAGAACAAATATAAATAAAGAAATGGACAAATGTTTTCTTTTTAAGCATAACCTGAAGTTCCAGAAAAGTGGCATCAAGAAAAACTTTACTATTTCTTTTAAAGAGTTACAGTAAAACTTGGAGCAGAAGCCAGGTGTTTGTGGCACACGCCTTTAATCCCAGCACTCGGGAGGCAGAGGCAGGCAAATCTCTGTGAGTTCCAGGCCAGCCTGGTCTACAGAGAGAGAGTTCCAGGACAGGCTCCAAAGCAATACAGAGAAACCCTGTCTCAAAAAACCAAGCAACAACAAAAACAAAACAAACAAACAAAACCCTTGGAGCAGAGCAGAATACATGTTTTTAAAGGTACTTGGGAAGCCAGGAGAGGGACTTACTAAATTCACAAGCTAGCTAGATATCAGTGGCCAAGGGTAAGATTGGGGTGGGTGAGGTAGGAGCCAAATATACTGAAAGAGAGTCAAGACTTCCTGCAGTTTCTCTTCTTTCCTGTAGTTTGGTTTTGGTTTCTTCTGCCTGTCTCTCTTTATACTGAGTCACTCCTCCCTATCTCAAGAACTCCCCCCCCCCCAAAAAAAAGAAAGACGGGTTTCCCCCATCTACAGTTTTAACAACTGTTTCAAAACACACCAAGCTTCCCCTTTTTGTTTTCCTCCCTCCCTGGAGAAGGAAGGGAACCATACAACCTGAAAAGGTAAAGACTTCATCTTTTCGACTTCTGATGAAATCGCCCAGCAATTGGTGTGAAGTTCGGGGGAGGTGTGGCCTGCACTGCACTTTACAAAAGGGAGTCAATATGATCCACAGGGAAATTCTGCTTGATAGGCCAGGAATCCCCCCCCCCCCACACACACACACACACTTAAGGAAATCTCTAGACTCAGGGGGATATCCCCAGCAACCTCTGCAGCCACATTTAGAAATCACTCACTCAGAGCCAAGTACAAGCAAGAGAGATGTTTCCTCATCAAGAAAAGAACAGATCCCGAGGGGCAAGGGGTGCACGCTTGTGGTGGGGGTGGGGGAGTAGGGACGACAGAGTCCTCCCCAGCCATTCTGAGAGTACCTGCCTCACCCGAGAGTCCTGGTGCGTCTCCGCATCACCCCATCCCGAGTCCCCTCCACACCCGAGTCGCGCGCCCGTGCTTGAAACAGGACACCGGCTCCGAGAGAGGCCAGTGCTTGTCTAGGAGCCCAACGCCCGCGAGTGGCACCAGCTAGCCCTCGCTCCCTTGGGGGAACCGGTGCGCAGGTTCCTGTCCTAAAGGTGACTAGGCTACCCCTAGCTCTGTGCCTCCCTGCAGCCCTGGCGCTCGTACCTCGGATGTAGGCGCACTTGCCCTCGTCCAGCTGGCTGGAGGCGGAGCCGCCCATGGCTGCGGTGCGGTGCTGGTGCCGTACCCGGGACAGGGGACTGACACCGACTGTGTCTGCTGCTCTCTGCTGAAGGTGGATGCGACAGGGAACTGGCTCTATAATTAAAGGGCCAACTTCCTCGAGAGGCGTCGCCGGCGCCGGCGCCTCCTCCAGGCCCGCGCTCTCGGAAGATGTGTGGGCTGGCCAGGGGGCTGTCTTCCCGCCCTCGCTGTACTTTGAGCCTCGGGGGCTGTCCAAGGAGCTCCGGGACTGTAAAAGGACTTCCCTCCTTGTCTTGGCTGACTTTTCACCAGTTTGGGGACAACTCAAACACATCGTGGGGGGAGTGGGAGAGTGGATCACTTTCAGGTGACTGTAAACGTCTGCCAGCTAGAAACTTCATTGCTACTAGCCTACAAGATGGATGTCAAGAGCCCATTTGCCTTCCTGTTCTCCAGCCACCTGCCCAGGGTCTGTTTCCAAAGTCCTCCAGGGAATTCCCTTGCCCGGAAGTGTGGAACCATGGAGAGCCATACCTTCTTGCGATCAAGATATTGAACTTATGAGGTGGAAAATGAAGGGAAAGTAATAGAGAAGCCTAGCAAACACCGAGAGGGTCCCCTACACTCTAAGGTATGCCTAAGACTCAAGGAAATCTGTCCTTGCCAGTCTTGTCTTCTTACAGGATGGGAAATTGCTGGTAGGAAATGTCATTGGTCCTTTCTCACAACTTGGCAGCCTGGACAGAGGGGTCGTCCTGATTTCTTTCTGTTCTTAGTGGTCAGATTTTTAGCAATTCCTACCAACCTGACCAGGCCTAAAAAGAACTTTAACACAAGTATTTCTCACAACTCACACTCAGTCTCTCACACCCCACATATATTCTGCCTAATTTCAAAATATGCCCAGTGTCCTACTAGTTCTTACATCCTTCGCTGCCTCATTTCACCAAGGGGAACCACTTGTGTGACTGTCTGGGTGCCTCATGTTATTCAAGTCAACTCTTCAATGCCAATATCTCCATATCTCCAGCAGCGAAGCAGAGTGCTGGCCTGGCATTCTGGAAGCTCTGGGTTTGAGTATTATCACCTCAAAAACAAGGTGTGGCAGTGACCACTTGTAATCCCGGGCTTGAAAAGTAAGTGAAGGAGGAATGGGCTACGTAGAGAGTCAGGGACTGACTGACTGGCTTGGGCTATGTGGAAAGCCTTTCATCCCAGCACTCAGAAGGCAGAGGCAGGTGGAGGCCAGCCAGGTTTACAGAGCAAGTTCCAAGACAGCCAGGGGCCAGAGATACCCAGAGAAACTGTGTCTTAAAAAAACCACTGCATGCACGTGGTAAGACAGACAGACATGCAGACAAACACCTATACTTGGGAAACAAGTGATCTGATTTATCACTCTTCTCTCTCTTGTGCATTCACAGGTGGAAAGATTTGCATGGAGTATACTCACCAATCAGAACCTGGCAAGTTCAGCCCTATATCACTGACCAGCCATGTGACCTGCTCAGATTGCCTAACTTCGGTGTTGTGTTAGTTTTCATTGCTCACTGTGAAAAAATGCTAAGGGTAATCGGCTTATCAGAACAGGTGCTTGTTTAGCCCACAGTTCAGAGGTTCAGACCAAGGACAGGTGGTCACATTGCCTTTAAGCTTATGTCAGCACAGTAGATCATGAGGTCGTTTGTTTTTGTTTTAATTTATTTATTTGGGGTTTTTTCTTACCCCGCCCCATGCCCTCTTTGGTTTTATCAAAGAAGGCTTTGCTCTGTAACCCAGGCTGGCCTGGACCTACCATCCTCCTATCCTGCTTCCTTAGCCCTAAGCATGCACCTGGCACTTGGCTCAAAATTACACGTTATTGCAAGAACATGTAGCAGAAATGCTGGTCACCTAGCAGCAGCTGGGAACTAGGAGTAGGAGGAGAATCTCAGTATCTCCTTTAAGAACACACTTCCAGTGACCTAACTTTCCTTCATAAAACTCCAGTTTCTAACTCTAGCATCACCACCACGGGCTGGAGACTGAGGTTTCAATACACAGACATTAGGGAAACATCCTTATGTGGGTTTCTTAACACCAGATATATGAAGATGCTTACAGTCATCTTATGGACCACTGTAAAAATCAAGTTTCATTGGGTCTTGAAGCACTTGATGTATTCCAGGGAGCATTGTAGGAGTGCAGTGGGTGGATGCTGGGTCTGTTATCAGAAGGAGCAAGACTGGAAATGAAGGATGTTTCTAGAAGGTTTTTGTTTGTTTTTGGTTTTTTCCAAACAGGGTTTCTCTGTGCAGCTTTGGAGCCTGTCCTGGAACTCACTCTATAGACCAAGCTAGTCTCTAACTCACAGAGATCCTCCTGCCTCTGCCTCCCCAGTGCTAGGATTAAAGGTGTGCACCATCACCTACCGGCCATTTCTAGAATTTTAATTACCCTTTGAATCATTCATGCTACATCAAGAAAGAGGTGTTTTCCCTCTTCTTGCTCAAAAACTAAGATAATCTTCTATCAGTGGTTTATAGGAAGAAATAAGAAAGTCATTACTTTGAACTTTTTTACACTTATTTGCTTTGGGTGGGGAGCACACACAACACAGTGATCGTGTGGAGCACAGATGACAGCTCACCAGAGTCAGTTCTCTCCTCCTCTACCATGTGATCCCAGGAATTGACTCAGGTCATCAGACTTGGCACCTTTACCCACTAAGCCTTCTAGTTGGCCCCCAGAATTCTTTTTTTTTAAATTTCAGTCATAGTATTTAATATTTGCAAATCCTGTGTGAACATCATTTTATTAATTATACTATAAAAAGAGTCTCCAAGCAATTCAATAGCTTTATGAACCCAATTCAATTTCATACAAGTCAAACCAGCTAGTTTAGAAATCCCCTGTGCAATGTTAGTTTTTGCCTGCATCAACACATTTTTCTTTGAAATATTGCTTTTTTTTTTTTTTTTTTTTTTTTTGGCTTTTCAAGACAGGTTTCTCTGTGGAATAAGTTCTCCCCTTCCGCCTTTATGTAGGTTCCAAGGGTTGAACTTGGGTCTCCAAGCATGCATGACAAGAGTCATTACCCACTAAGCCATCTCAGTGGGCCTGATATTTTAATTTTATATTGAAATATATATGTATGTATGTATGTATATGTTTTCAGAATACATTATAGAAAGCTAAGCTAACTAAAATACTTTGGGGAGGGAGCCAGCCTCTCATGGATGATTCTGCAGACAGCGCTGAGCTGGAGTTCCAGAGAGTGCAAAGTCTGGTATCAGAAAGATACCAATTTTAGTTTTTCTTTTCACTTTTTTTTTTTTAAATGGGTGAATGGTGGCATACACTTTTAATCCTTCGCTCAGAAGGCAGAGGCAGGTGGATTTCTGTGAGTTCAAGGCCAACCTGGTCTACACAGTGAGGTCTGACCCAGCTAGGGTTACATAGGGAGACCTCGTTTCAAAAAAGCAAACAAACAAAAAAAAAAAAAGAAATGAAAAAACAAAACGAAACAGATTATTTTTTAGTTAAGAAACATTTATTCAATGTGTTTTCCAAATGTGAATCATAGCAAATAAAGTCAGAGGTGCTGACTGGAACCAGAAATATTTAAAGGTGCCTAACACATCTTCAAACCTAACAAGACCAGAGTAGCCCAGACATTGGTAAGTAGATTGTACTAAAGGCCAAGCTCTAGCCCATATTGGAGAGGAGGGGGAAAGCTGTTGAGTTTAGTGCACAAAGAGAAGTGCGCCACCTGCCGGGCTGCCGATGATACTCCGTGCCTGGGTGGGACCTCCAGGCAGAAATACCAACGATTTCACCTAGCCAGCACCCAGCTAGAGCTGCTTAACTGCTATTTGACACTATCATGGATTTCTTACAAACATTTCTTTTTGCCAGTTCACAGATGAATTACTATCATAGAAGGATGTTTCCTGGAGGTCCAGTCTATTATTTAATAGTGTAAGCTTGTACTCACCATGTGCAACATACATTTTAATATTCATTTTAATTCAGCTTATAAAGAGCAGTTTCCTGTGCTCTTTAGAGTATAAATCACCAGTTCATTGATTCACCTAGTCAGCTATTAATAGTTGCTGGAAAGTGGCTGGCCAGGTTTCTGAACTTGAGTCTGATGTGTTTAAATGGAGAACTGGGAACCTCAAGGACACTTGGAACCAGGGGGCTGAAATATCGGGGTGAAGAGGAATATTACAGCACTAGCACTGTGTGGAATTTCTCCCAGTGGTGATTTTAAAATATTATTACTATTGTTGTAGACCACATCCACTTAACATTCCTACCCCATAGACTTCTGAATAGTTGCATTCACAAATGGAATGAGGAGTGGCGAAGAGATGTCCAGATATTTATGACATCTACATGGAAAGAATATACTCATTATTAGTTGGCATGACTAACTATACCTGACTAAATTCTTCATCCAAACCTCCTTAAATCCTGTCTCCTGTTGGATAGTGGATCACTTATTTCCCTTGGGTTACACATGATGATGCTATCACATCAAATACAGTTTACTTAATTAGATTGTTTTCCACTTAAAATTTAGCTAAGATCAGCTCACTGCCAGAATAACATTTGAAGGGGAAGACTGAACAAACAAACTCCGATTATTTACATATGGATATTATGCTAGCCTATTCCTAACCCAGGCCAATCACGATCTTGACCAGGATTATTGGTTTTAAGAAAGACTGACATCCCTTGAGGTTGCTGAGCTAAGGATATGAATCTCAAGCTGCCAAATGGGTATTTGTCAACTACAAGGAGAGGCCCTGCTTAAAAGAAAAGAAATGTTCTGGTGACATCACATTACTTTCGTCCCAGTTTATCCAGTTCAACAAAACAATAAATCTGCCTGGATTTTTATTTGTTGATTTGTTTTGTTTTGTTTTACTTTGAATTGGATTTCTGTCTTCCTTCCCATCCTTAATAAATACAGGACTTAAATAGTGCTTTTTTGCAAGATGAAAGTCATTCTGTTGCTCTATCCTTATGTGTGGTTGATTAAGATAAATACAAATGGCTATTCTTTTCCATGACGGACAACAGCATGTGCCAGCATGGGTCAGTGCTTACAGTATATGGCCATTTATTTTTCTTGGTGATTTGCCATTCTTTACAGTCCATTTGGAAAGTGATTTTCTTTCATCCAAGACATTTGATTGATTATTGACTGCAT